GATGCATGCCATATAAAATGTGGGATTGGCTGTATGGAATGCTTCTGCTGCTATGAATTTGAGAGCTGGATTGTGGATGGCTGTGAGATATCCTTTATGCACATTCTATTGTTAGAGGATGTATATGTATGTTTGGTGACAATAAGGCTGTACTTAGAATCTTATAAACTTACAGAGGAAGCTGAATGTTGTGAATTACAGAGGAAGCTGAATGTTGTGAATTACACAGGAAGCTGAATGTTGTGAATTACAGAGGAAGCTGAATGTTGTGATTGCAGAGAAATATACAAGGGCCATTTGCCTAAGGGCAGGGTTGCTTTTTATGAGAAACTGACTTGAATTCACATGATAAATGAGGAAAACCATTACAATTTACATGTAGTCAACTCTCTTGCTGGAAAAAATATCAGTATTTAGCAATTTTATAACTTGGCCATTGATAGGTACAGGTACTTCTACTGGCATGTACAGGCACTTCTACTGGCATGGATTCCAGTGTGACATACTCTGTGCATGCAAGTCTATTAGGTGATTATGTACATCCCATGATACAATACTTCCATTCAAATACTTCTAGCATATTCCAGGATGACAATTTTCAGCATAATCAAGGGTAATGATGACTGGTTGGACGAACACCTTTTGGATTGGCCTCCTAATCCCCGCAAACTTAATCCCATAGAGCAGTAGTTCTCAACCTTTTGACTAACACATACCATCTAAAACAAAAATTGAAAACTTTACTACCACCACTACATCTTATAATGATTATTTTTCAATTTCTCAATAAAAATATTAATATATATGTTGTATTTTCGAGGTGCAGTTAGGTAGATGGATGTTTAGGAGCTTTTGATAGTCAAGTGGAAAGATGACGCTGACGCAAATGAATTTGAAGAATTCCCAATCTTTATTTTCACTCATACTAATCATTTCTTAATAGATAAAATATTTCTAGATCATAAACAACTACATTAATTTCCTATATGCACAGGTTAAAAAAGGCGGTACTATCTTAGATGAGTAAGCATAGCAGCAGGGAGATTTTTCACAGTGGTTGAAGCTAGGAAAAGAGATGACATAATTACTTGCGAGCAGTATTTATACCTAGTAGATGCAGAAAGTACTCTAAGCTGTGCTTGGTTAATTTTAGGTTGTTATGTAACTTGGAAAGATCTCGAATTTGGGAGAACAGATCAATTTAGGAGGAAGAACATAAAATCTAGAATAGTTAATTTTGAGGTCATTAATCATTCTTTAAGCAGCCATTGTATTTTGTTATATCTTACATATCCCCCTTACATATTGCTATTTGCACAACTTATTGGCTGTTTGTATTAAATATGCACACATAAAAAAATTACAAATTGGTTACCATTTTACTTTAAGCTTTAGTACTTTAATTCTAAAACTTAGTGTGGATTTTGGGCCTGTTTAAGAGTGGTCAATTTATGTCTGGTCTTATTTCACTTAGTTTTAACCGTAAATTAGGATTCACTTTTAATTTCATTGTGTATTTATTTTTCAAATATAACAATGGAAGCAAATCCTTGCTCACACAGATAGATTGCACAGAAAGGCAATAAAAATTTAAAAGCTTCATCTGAAATGCCTTTAAATTCTTTTTTCGGCTCACCCAAAATTTAACAAGTGGAATTTTTGAAATCTTCAGATAGAATTTGATCACACAAAATTTCTATCAATTGTTCTTTTTCTTCACGAGATAAAGTTTCATATACATTTGTATAAAATGGATTTCTGATTCAATTTTCTTTTTCATAATTCTTGGGAAAATACACATTGAAATTACTTATCAATGAAAAACAATGATTTTTAATGTTTGATACTAATTCTTATTTTATTTTCAAATTATTTTCAATTACAAAAATTTCAAAAAGTGGTAAAAAGCTTAAAATATTATTATCCAGTTCTTTGATTATTAGTTCAAGTTTTTTTATCATTACATTCTTAGCACTTTGTTCTCGTAATCCTAAATTTAGTTCATTTAAATTACCAAAAATATCAGCTAAATATACTAAACGCATCAACCATAATTCACTAAATAAACATTTTTGCCATTCAAATTTTTAATTGCACAGAAAAATTTGAATTTCTGACCAAAGTTCAAAAAGACAATTTAAAACCTTGCCTCTGAAAAACCATGTTCACTGCCCATCCCTTAGCATAAAATCATAAATATTCTTGAATTTAAAGCTCGTCGTTTAATAAAATTAACAATTTTCACAGCTTGATTCAGAATGATTTTCAGGATTTCGGGGATTGTTTTTGGCAACTAAAGCTTCACGATGAATAGAGCAGTGAATAAATTTAGCTTCAGGTGCAACTTTCTTTTTTTGAGAAATAACACCAGAATATTTTTCTGTTAAAACCTGAGCTCTGTAACTGCATATGGCAATGCACTTATTCCAAGGAATATCATTCTCATAAAATTGCCAATTACAGTAGAGTCCTGCATACTCGACATAATGTGGACAGAGAGACTGTCGAGTTTTACAGAATAACGGGTGGGTTTTTCAGAACTCTTGATATTTAACTGTAAATTATTTTAGACATTTGTAGCACAATATTGGACACGGAAAAGCATAGCATACAGTTAAATTAATGTTGATTTTTTATGTCAAATTCTAGCACAATAGGAGTTATAAAAAGAGGAAATACCATAAGAATTCAGTAAAAAACTTACATACAAAATGAAGAAAAATTATTAATAGTTCTCGGTAGAAAAATATCGTGGGATGGTAGATTGTCTCTCCAAAGAAGTTATTAAAACTAATTCCAAAGAAGTAAACAGCATTGGTAAGTAGTACAACATATTTTGAAATTTGTTAGGCAGTTCGAAGAATTAATGGCACAATGCAAAAGCATAAAAAATTACAGGAAAAAAAACCCCTCAAATCTTTTGAACAGAACAGGAAAAACATATGTATACATAAATAATTATATGTACAGTATGTAATATATGCTATGTTTGGCCTAGAGATATCTTAAAAAAGTTCCTAAAAAGTTGTTGAGTTATATGGAATGTCAACATATCAGGAGTCGAGTTTGCGAGACTCTAGTACTTTGAAAATTTCATTTTTAGTTGCTCTATCATAATGAGATTCACAAAATAAATACTCTTCAGCAATTCGTTTACCTTTTTCAACATGTATGCAAACTAATAATTGAACAAAATTCATTCAGTACTTTCATCCAATTGGCATGCAAAATACTCACTGTGTTTTATTTTTTGAATAATGTCTCTTTTATTTATTTTATTTTTTGAATAATGTCTTTGCCATTTCATGAATTAGTCTATTTACTGTATCATTTGATAACTGAATATTAATAAGTTCATTAGCTGCTTTTTAGTTGAATAATGTTAAAATGATATCTTTAACTACTTGTAATATAAGATTTTCTCCAACTGTGTGAGCCTACCTAGTCTTTCCAATTCTTAGGCTTACTATATAGAGTCATTAGGTTATTTTGAAGCAGAAGTACATGAAAAATTAGCAATTCATAAAAACTATGTAACTAACTTCCAAAGCCCTTTCACTTGAAGTAACAAAACTTTCCATTACTTGTTTACTATTTTTGAACTCCGATAATTCCTTCTCAAAATATTCTTCAGGTTTTTTCTTTGAATTGGCATGCTTAGATTTAATATGTCTTAAGAAATGACAGTTTCATACTTTGATTAGATAATAGCTCACCATTTCAGGGTCCATTTCATCTCCATTCCAAAAAAAAAAAAAAAAAAAAAACCTAAATGATAAATAACTTTCATTATATTTTCTACAACAATTTTCTTTTTTTACCGATCTAGTGCTATAATTTACTGGATCCTTCCCTGGAATCATCACTTTTCTGCTTAGTCAATCCTAGCCATTTTTCCATTTTGAAAATCTAGGTTTGCTTTGTTGTTTTTTCTCAAATATTTAAATACTCAGTTTATTGCGAGTTCTTCAAAAACAAAGGATGATATTCTCAAATTGCATACAAAAGTAGGAAATAAAAGCAAAAGACAAACTACCTGCTGTTAGAGACAGCAAATCAAAGTAGAAAAAAATTATTTTAATTGAAAATACAGCAATATGAGCCCAGAAAAGGTGGCAGCATCAAGTGCAGACATGCTAATAAATCGGTCAACTAAAAAAATAAATAAATAAATAAGAAATTGGATACTATTAACTTTCCATAGGAAATAATTTTTATTTCCTATTAAACACAACACCCATTTTTTATTACTCCTTTTAAAAATATCATTTATGACAAATTTTGTAGTCTCGGCTAAAGTCTGGCCCATAAGCCAATATTTTGCCAATTCCATGGCATTGACCTTGAACCAGATCACTCGCATATTTTTGATTTTCGCGCCGATTTTAAGTTTTCGTTAAAAATACTTTGTTTCTTTGTGTACCACCCATTTTTCTCTTATGTAATGCCATAGAGTATTACGAGATGCCACAGAATGGGATTTTTGCATCATGGACTGTGCACTAGCACATATAGGTTTGTTATGGGCTACTATCATGATAATGACATCAACAACCCACTGAACACATATTGGCATATGATGGAATCTACAACACAATGTGGCAAAAGATAGATATTCAAAAAGTTTTAGGAAATAACAACACAATGTGGCAAAAGATAGACTCACAAAGTTTTAGGAAATAACATTGTGTTTTTTGCTTTACATTTGATAGCCTCACTTTTTAAAAAATGGATTATTGACATTCAAGAAGAAACTTTATAAAAGTAACTTCCATACAATTTGTATTTTTTGTTTTTAAATGCAGGAAAGTAGGCATATATAATATAAATTTAACACTTAAAACCATGACAGAGCTCAAAATCCTTCTCTTAATTTATAATGTTCTTACATCAATTAACAAAATGCTATGACTTTCATCTTTTCTATAACTTCTTCCTGTGTTCCTCACCAGAATGCAACTTAGCTTTGATTGCATTTAAGCTAATAGTTTTGAATCTTAGAAGCAGAGAGCCTCTGACAATTGCATCTACTGTTAGTTTTTCTTCAGCTATATTCAAAAAAGATATTCTGTCTTTAGCATTCTTGCTAGTTGATGCTTTACACATATCTGCCAATAAAATAACTGAACCAGCTTATTTCTTAGTCTACTGAATATGTAATCTTTGACTACATTCTGCAGTTGAATTTAATTGTTTGTTATTGCTTAATTTGAATAGCCACAAGTGATGGTTCTTCTGTAACACAATATGTGCTTTTATGTTCAATTTTCGACTTAAATAAAAAGATTATTCTAAATCTTTTCCTGTATTTGTGAGTTGTTGAGGTGTAGCGACAACTAACTGTAGGACTTTAGCTCCAGCTATCAATAGCAACCTACAAATTATATGTTAAAAATTAAAAAGTTATTAAATTAAAAAGTTATTTTTATGAAATTACATACTATTTTAATATCTTTTTAATGACATCAGATACTCAAATTTCGTAAAGAATCGAATTCTTTTAAGTATTGTTTACGCTATTTAGTACTGTTTGTAATACATATTTTACATTCTGAAATATATACACTTTACATTTTTAAAGAAGCATAAATACACTCTGTAAAATACACTTTACATTTCTAGAAAAGCATTAATTGCAATTCCAAACCTAAGCATAAAATTAGAACAAAAGTAATGGAATTTATGTACTGATTAGAATTAGCATAAATTTCTAAAACTGTGTTTTTGAAAAAAAATTGGTAAAGAAATTTCATTTTGGCTATACTTGGAAGGCAATATTAATCTGGTATTATGCACTGCTCTAGCTCAGAACAGACTCTTTAGTCACAAAGACCATTTTTTGGATGTTTAATTGGGCAGGGCTGGGTGCAATTTAAGTACTCTGCTCGTACAATTTAAGTATTGATATCTTGTGTGGCTTAGTATGTAATGCAAAAGAAGCACTATTAAGGCTCGTTGTAAGAATTTGGCAAAAGATATACTCCTAGATGCAAATTACTACTAATGTAATAATCATGACATTGTAAATTTAATTGGATAAAGCAATATAACAATATACAAAAGCAAAACAATGTGTTAAGTAAGTGAAATTTTATAAATTAAAATTTAAAAGTATAACTTGATGAAATAAGTTTAAATAAAATGCAACAAATAAAGTGTATAATTTAATAAGCCATACTAAGAAGTTATAAGGTGTCCATATCAGTTTTTTTTTTTTTTTTTTTTTTTTTTTTTTTGGTTTCATAAAATGGTATAATAACTATCATGGGCCCATTAAACACATCCTTAAAGACTGTAAAATGTTTATTAGAAATAAGTTCATATAAAATTTAACAGTCTGCATTTATCAAATTGCTCTAACTTGAATGACCAATCCCTCAAGGCAAGTTGAAAGTGACATTAAAAATTGTAAATTTTGAAATTAAATATCCCAGCCAATTTTATCATATGGGAGTCAAACTTCTACTACCTTTATTTTTTCATAACGAGTATAAAATTTTCCCAAATATAAGTACAGCAAACCAGGAGATACATTAAAAGTTGGATCATGTTTTTTGTCAAAAGTTATTATTACAGTCAAAAGTCATTAATCCGGAATGATCTATAATCCGGACCTCCAGTACCACTTTCATGCATGCTAATGCATATGGTTTACACATGCCATGATACTTTACACATGCATTTAATTATTCGGCGGTAATAAGGACTAAAATGATCTAATTATCTATTCAGTTAATGGTGCTGATGCGTTTTTCTTATCTTTGAATTGGATCCGTCCTTTTTTTGCAGGTTGTTGAAGCAATTTTATAAAGTAGCTTGAACTTCGATTATGCAAAAAGAATTTCCATCTGGAGCTGCAAAGGATTTAGAAAGCGAAGCCGTTTTATGTCCTCAACCGAAAAGTGGATTGCTGCGAAAATGGCTAAAGGCTTATCCTTTTTTTCAACCATCCGAAATTGTTCTCAATTTCACGCTGCTCTGCGGTGGGGTGGAACGTCGAGCACCAATGACTGAAGGTGATCTGTCAGCCTACCCTTATTCCAGGGCAGGTTTTTATTCTCTTCGGCCTTATAATTCTTTCAATGTCGTATTCTTGATGTACTCTGTCTTGATTGCTTAACAAATCCTCGTCTTATACCTATCTGCTCAACATCAAGTTTTCTGTTGCATTTTCTAATTACATATGGTAATGTATGCTTTCGCTCGCTCTTGACCAGACCTATTATAAAACCCTGCATGCCATCTTACCAGATTTAAATTGATGATCTATAATCCGGAAAAACTGTTAATCCGGAATTGCCGAAGTCCCGACGAGTCTGAATTAAAGACTTTTGACTGTATTATTTTTTTAATTTAGCATTGTCAAACATTAATATTTTCCTCATTTAAAACACTTCTGTAATTGAAAGTATATAAACAGGACTAATGATTGTGAAAATAAAGGCCAAGTAAAACTTTTAAGATGGATATGGGTGGTGTGTGTATGTATATATATATATGGTACTGCTGATTGAAATAAAAAGGGCAGGTAGACAATACGATGTTATAACAGCCCCATATACAAAATTTCAGAGTCTGCGGCTAATCACGTTCAAGTTCTGTGAGATAGATACATTGATACATAAAAAAATGTCCCTTGTACAATTCACTTTGAAAAAAAAAGAGTCCTTTATTATTTACAAACATACAGCCATGATGCAAAAAAAAGGGGGGGGTCTAAATGAATTCAGGAATAATCAAAATCGATATTTTTGTGAAATATGATATCTGAAATTTTTCGTAATTGCAATACTTTCTTCACTTCATACGAGGAAGTAAAAAGTTAATAATAGTTGCAAGTGATACATTACCATAAATATTTTGTTTTGTATTAATATCCCAAAGGCGAATACAGTTGTCCTCAGCTACTGATAAAATGCAGTCAGCTTGTGGATGAAATTTCAATACTTCTACTTTACACTGACATAATATATCAACTTCAGGATTACATGGTATATTGCTTTTTAAGCTCTCATCAGTGATTCGCCACAGTTTTACCTATGAGAAGGAAGGAGGATAACAGGAGCAATAAACAACAAGAGAATAAAAGTGATAGTATTTTAAAATATAATAAATTAAAACTTAAACAACATTACAATATTACAGATGATTAAAAAATAATCAGTATATATTCAGTATAAACATAAACACTTCCTTCTAATCTTTTTTATATGTGGAACTCTTTTTAATGTTCACTTTTATCGTTGAACCCCTGGTTTGCTTGCACAGTATGGCTAGGCACCATTCTGTAAATGGATTATTTGCAGCAAAAATGACAATTATTTCACATAATATTTACTTCAAAAGTAATTTCAAAATTAACCTGAAAGTTCTTAAAATAACATATTCAAAAAGGACTTTTAAATGTAAATTTTAATGAGATGATGGGTATTACTTTTTATTATTGCAGATGTACTTAATATTAGGTTTTATGAATTAAAGTTGAATGCTTTTGACCTGTTTGGCATCAAGTCTGCTGCAATATTTAGTTTTTATCAACACGTACAGCTGAGAACACCATTTCAAATAGTTGCAAATGGGAAAAAGGCCAACATGGCCTTTTTGACAAGTTAGGCTATTCATCCCTTAAACTGCACTAAAATTTCACTAATGGCATTAATTTAAATTTTTCTGGCAATATATCAGATATCATTTAAATAAAAGCTTTTTGGGATCTTATATGTGCCCTAATTTCACCAAATGTGACGATATGTGTTCTGCGCTGGTTTTTGGCATAATGGCATGTTGTATGGCAACCCTGTTGACGCTGAAAACTCTTCTGCTGGAGTGATTTAATTTCTCGTTGGTTCGTGCCATGCCTGTTTTGAAATGGCCTATGTTGCAATGATAGATGTGGTGGCAAGATTTGAGTCGCGTATTTTAGATTGTGTGGAAAGTAAATTTAGTATTCAAAGGTATGATGTTGGAGTTGTTAACAAATCTTTTGTTCACGGGTGTGTTTATGAGGATTGAAGTGTATTTTTGAAATTTCTGTGGGATTTTTAAAACGGAGTCCAAAATTCGGAGCTGCTATGAGAACTTGGACGAAGAAGGGCATTTCTGATATTTCGTGTGTGGATTTGCAGTTAAGTGGTGTGGTGGTGATGTATTTAATTATGGCAAAGCACGCAAGGGCTATCTGCCTAAGGGGAGGGATGCCTTCGTGGAGGACTTTCTAAGGGAAACTGGCTCGTATACACGTTACACATGGGGAAAACCACGAAAACACCCATGCAGCCAGCCCGTTCGCGGGATTCGAACCTCGGACCGAACTACCAGTGTTCAGCGACTTTACCGCTCGGCCGCTGGTGGGCCCCTGGATTTGCAGTAATGTTGCTGTTAAGTATGTGGTGTCAGGGTTCCGATTGAATTGGTTTGTTGGTGTAGTACTTAACTTGGAAGAAGTTTTAAATCGTTCTTGAAATTTGAATCTATCTCAGAAAGACATTGATTAAAAAAATCGTGCCACTTTTGTTCCTAGATGTTGGCTGGCGAAATTTATTCTGAATGTATTATGGTAAGGAATTTATTTCAGTTTTTTTTTGCATGTTATGTTCATTGTTTTTTCTATGATTTTTGTTGTCTTGTTGTTTGAATTGTTTGTAATTAGTTTAGTTTATTGTTGCTTCAGCCAATGCCTATATGCCAATTCGTAGATGTTTTTTTCAAGTTTAAACAGAATGCTGTGCACATGGTATACTTTGAAATTTATTGTTATGTTAATTTACTGAAGTGAGGTGTTCGTAGATTCCTTCACTGTCTAGAATGTGCAATTCGTAGATTTTAAAGTTAAAACATATCGCTGTGTACATAGATTCTTGTCAAATATTTTTGGTTAGAAACTTTAAGTTTTTGCTATCTATTTTTTTTTTTTTTTATTTTTTTTTAATTTTTTACGATTTTTAGCTTAAATTGTGTCTTCAAAACGTGAGTTTTGCATGTGCGAAAACCGCATTTTTGGAGACATGTTAGGCTTAAAATTTGAAATGTAGACAAAAAATTTAGGTAGTAATATGGCGGCGTGTTTTGGCGAGAAAATTGGCGACCTAAGGGTGCACATAAGAGTAGTTCTGTTTTTTGCATTCGTTTGCTAACATGGTTGAAGTTTGTGCCTTTACAATACATAGGTTTTTAATCCACAATTCATTTTGATATTTAATCTGTTGTTCATTTGGAAAATACTGATTAAAAGCTTCACTCAAACCTTTCATGTGATGAAAAATTTCTTCAATAAATGTCTTCAATATTTCAACACTACCTCATCTGTAAAGCTTTTATTGTTGGCAAGGAATCAAAATTATTGGAGTGTACACATTCTTTTTCCTTGAAAGTAAGATTTTTTTCCCACAGTAAATACATATATTTGTATGCCCTGTACTTAATATTTTAAATTTTAATGTTCATTGATCTTTGTAAAAGTGTCACTTAAATAGGCAATTTTATTCACCAGTTTCTTTAAAATAAACAACCTCTCAATTTGAAACCTCATCCCTTAGGTCAAAAATACTGGTTGGTGATGTCATCTCACAGTATTTTGAATGAATGATTATTTAGTAACCAAGATTTTGTGACAGCATGCTTACAATTGGGGGATAATTTTTTGTCTGTTATCCTGGTTGGATTTCATTATATTTTACATTTTAGACTTAATGATTTAAACTTAATGAAGAATATGTGTGATGCAATGATATAATAACTAATAAAGTTTATCAATGAGCAAAAAATTAAAAACCTTCAATCAATTTGTTTTTTATAAGATACATATCGACAAGTGATCATTATCTTGACTATTCACAGCACAGTTTTCTGTACAAGTATATGGGATCCCCCTATATTTCTAAAACAGGAGGATTTCCCTGCATATCTAGATTTGTTAGATTATGTGTATTAACCGGTAAAGAAGTGAGATAGGGTGTCATCGATAGCAGGATTTCAAGTGATTCCCCAGCACAGTTACCAAAAACTTTTCTGATAACACTGTCAGAATTCAAGACATCAGACTGTAACATTTGCATCAACTATACTTTCTGAAATATTATGAAAAAATTACCTATGTTTCATGGACCCTTGAGTAATCTCCAAGTTCCATAGAACACAATTTTGAAAAAAATATTCTAGAGTAATCCATGAAGTAAATCTAGGCATAGGGATTCTCATACATGCATCTACTGCATTTAATATCATTTCTTCCCTTTTATATCAGATTTTTCCTTTCTACAAGGGAGTTCACACTCCAGCATATGAAGAAAACTTTTTTTTTTTTTTTTACTTTAGTCAACTCAAAAGAATATGCACTTAAAATTTCAGCTTCTGATGGATACTGATAGCACAGATATCATTACTTTTACACCCAACTTAAAACCCAAATTATCTCTTAAAAGAAAAATGCAGCAATCTTCAGTGAACGAAAAAATTCTTACAGCAGCTCTATCAAAATATTTTTCTTAATTACTATTATCTATAGAACACTTTACATCAATTGAAATGTTTGGCAATAAACTATTCTACAATTTTTTATTAGTATCACTTCCTGAAAGGAAATAAAAAAGATGCTACAGGAAATGGCAATTTAGCAATACTTAGCAGCTGAGCCAGATAAAATGCTTAAAATACTGATTCATTAAACAAAACATTATTTCCAAAATATCAAGCACTTTTAATTGTGTTAGAACATATTACATTACCTATCATGTTTTGTACAATGGGGAAAATCATTCCATTTACACACTGAAAAACATATTTTTATCACATTACAGAATAACTTGAAATAACTAGTGCTTACAATCAAAACTTTTTAAGAAAAAAAAAAAAAAAATACTCTTTTTTGACATAAAATATAACATGCTCATTTAAAATGTGACATTTCTAAAATTAACTAAATTTATACATAAAACATAATAATGCTCAAAATTTGGTACTTTCTTATCAAAACATGCAATTAATTGCCAAAGTTTGATAACTTAATAGCAAAATTCGTATAGTAATGTGTAACTTTTAAATACCACTGCAGGCTTATAATCATGACTTCTGTAATAAAGGAGTACCCAAAATTTAAAAGAATATTTTATAATACTGGAAGTAAAAATAATATTTTTAATCACTACTCACATGTTGATCTTGAGAACCAGTGGCTAAAATACCATCATCATAGGGACAGAAATCAAAATCTGTGATAAATTCTAAAATGCAGAGGAGTATAAATGTGTTTAACTTAGTATGAGTAATGAATGGACTAACAAATGCTATACCAACATAAAATAAGTAAGGGGATTATTTATTTGTCAGAATTTTTACTATAACATTTTCGTTTTTTAGAATACTCCTCTTTAAAATATAAAATAGTCCGGACTGTTGGGACTTCGGCAATTCGGATATAGTCATCAATTAAATCTGGTAAGATGGCATGCGAAATTTTAAATTAAAAATATGAAACGTAATTTAAGAATAAAGATCAACTATGATTAAAAAGTATCAAATTTACAAAAAAAAAAAAAAAAAAAAAAACTTAATATATTTGTTTACCTTGTAGATAGATCCTTTGCAGGTCCATAATCGAAATTTTTTTTGAATAATCGAAAGTTCAAGCTTACTTTAAAAAATTGCTCTAACATCTGAAAATAAAGCCGATCCCATTCAGATAAGCGGCCGAGCGTACGAGCTGACACTGGTAGTTCGGTCGGTCGAATCCCCGCGAATGGGCTGGCTGCATGGGCGTTTTCATGGTTTTCCCATGTGTAACGTGTATACAGCAGTTCCCTTAGAAAGTCCTCCTGAAGGCATCCCTCCCTTTAGGCAGATAGCCCCGTGTGCTTTGCCATAAAAATATCCAAATCCAATTCAAAGATAAAGAACAACACAATCTGCAACATTAACTGAAATAGATAATTAGATAATTTTAGTTTAGCTTATACCGTCCGTTATACATTAAACGTGCATGCGTAAATGCCTACACACATGCATGAACGCTTTATACATTGACACATGCACACAAAGTTTGTAGCTTTGAGGTCCGGATTAACGACTTTTGACTGTACATAAAAATATTTCATGAAAAAACATTTTTATTGTAAAATTTAAAAAAAAAAAATCGTAATTATACACAAACATAAATTCAAAATTAAAAGTTTTTATTTTAAATATAGAATGATCTTTTTTAAAGTGACAGTGTTTGTAGTGCCCTGTAGCGCGATCTAATAGCCGAAATGGCACGAAACTTGGTATTTAGACTAATCATGACACGGGACATCAAGACATACAATCGTACAGTTAAATTATTAATGTTTATTTACTACATTAACTTCCCCGTGTGAATTACAACCCATTATTGAGCCCGTTCTCAAAATAACACCGTGCTGCTGTGCCAATGTTTCCAAGCCGTATGAATATACGAGGACTATTCCGCACTGCCTTTGTTATGTTGTCCTTAGAATCGACAAATTTATACTCCACCAACATCCTCTTGAGATTTCAAATAACCTCATAGACAAAATCGCATGCCGTGAGGTCAGGGAAAGAGGGGCATGCAACTGAAACGCGACTTATGACTCTATCATATGAAGTTTTGGCGCAACCTTGGCCTTTACCTTATTACTAATGTGTGGAGCACTATCCTGCATAAAGATCGTCTGTTGAAGACGGTTTCTTTGCTGAAGTTATGGAATAACAAACGTTTGCAGCATTTCGTGGTACCTTTCTTCATTTATGGTGCATGTTTGGGGTCCTGTCGGAGTGATGGTCTCAAAAATGAATGGCCCAATTACGAATTCGGATGTGAAACCACACCAAACAATGACTTTTGGGGAATTTAATGGGATTTCGTGCACGGTGTGGGGCTACTTAGAAGCTCAAATTCAGCTATTTTGTGTGTTTACTGACCCATTGAGATAAAAATGGCGCTCATCTCTCCAAAGAATATGCCATGGGAAAGCATCATCAATTTCTACCCTGGCAAGAAACTATAAAGCGAATGTCACTCGCTTATACTTGGTTTCAGTTCGGGCAAGCGGCTGATTTTGTAGGAGTAAAATCCAATAACGTGCCGCAAAACTCTCCGTACCGTGGAATAATTCATGCCCTATTGTCAAGCTACACGCCGGGCGCTGCTGGTACCAGCAATGGTTCCCTGCGATCCTTCGACAATTGTAGTTGCCACATCAGTTATTACATCTTCTGACACTGGCTTACGTTCTCTTTCAGCGCGAGTGGTCAGTGATCCCGTTTCCTTGAACTTCTTAATAACTTTCTTAAGACCATTCACCTATAAAGGGACCCTATCGTAATTTTTCTCTGGTTCGAAATTCCCGAAGAGCTGCGGATGCATTTCTTTGATTCATGTAATACAGCTTCAGCAGAAACGCAGATTCCGGTAACGTGCGAGGCATGGCCACTGGAGCACGTCTACTTCAGCTAAGATTATTTGTCGGATCTGTCTACTACTTGCTTTTATTATAGCCCCTATTACTGGCGCTGTCATCGACAACATTTGAATTTTTCTTTGATACCCGTGTTTTATGATAATTATCGTTATTGCAAGCTACAGCAGCTCCACAAAATGCCCTAGCGGCGATTTTTAGAACTAATTTTTTTCCCACGGGATCCTTTTACCCATGTCTTAGTCTAAATAAATTAAATAAATTTGGTGCCATTTCGGCTATTAGATAGCGCTACAGGGCCGCTCCCAAACACTGTCACTTATAAAAGATCACCCTGTATATAACAGTATTTAAATATGTTTAACATATTTTAATTGTTATAAGTTAGTTTAAATTATTATACATTTTCAGTTAAAAATATATCAATTACATTTAAAGTATAATGGAACAAGCTGTTTATAGAATGAACTTTCATAAGTTACATATAAAAGTAGATAAATAGCATACATCTTTTACATTAGTTAAAATCATTTTATTAATTATAAAATTTTGTTTATTGGCTAATATTACTCCAAATGATATTTTCTTTCTTTCTTTTTTTAGTAAAAATTCCATCTTTTGTAGGTTAGCAAGAAAGCATTTAAAAAAATAGCTAAAGTAACTAATCTGTGCAGGATAGATCAACAGACAATAAAAAACAGCACGGATGTTTAATGATATACTTTGATTTTACATTAAAGAGCAACTCTGTCATTCCACTATTTTCTCACTGGTGGTGCAAGGTTATGCAGATGTTTGGAATCATTCAAAAGAGCTGTCAAACTATGACACCGTTTCCAAATAATTAAAAAAAAACCAGTATTCTATTCCAAACAAATACTGCTCTTCAAGCTTCAATTATCATAAAAAAGGCTAGATAAAATAGAAAAATTATGTTCCTCAACCACTTGAGGGCTGAAAATGAAAATATTGTTCAGTAGAAGACAAGATATAAAAGATGAAATAATATGCAAGGTAATTCAAAACTATAATGCAAGATGATATTTCTAAGCAAAAGAAAATCTCAGATAATCATAACAAAAATGGAGTACACCCAGTATCACATGCTCTGTTCCTCCAATGTTTTAAAAAAATTTCTTAGGAAAAAAAAAAAAAATATGGGAGGTCTAGATAACATATCATTTCAGTTATCAAATGTATGGTTTTAAACTTTGCACAATATAAAGTGGGGGAAAAAAAAAAAAAAAAAAAAAATTATTCTCACTTTCAGATTTCCAGCTATTTTACACCCAAACAAAGTAAGCAAAATAACATATAATAACCAAGTGTGGTTATGTGGATAATGTTAAATAAATGTAGTTAGTAAGTGGATATATGTTAGTATGCTCTGGAGAGAAAATATATATTATTCATATCCAGCAGCATTTGTTTCATCAGTATGAATATCTGGCTTTGTCTTCAATTTATGGTAAAATTAGATTCATATGTATATAAAAAAAATATTTTTGAATAATTTTTCATTTATTTATGTTTCATTGTCAGAAAATGTTTTAATTAGTATTTGTAATTTATATAGCTTTGTGACCAGGATCCCAAAATCATTGTTTTTGTCGTGTCTATGATAAAGCCTATTTAAATAGTGTCAAGGGTGAAGATGACAGTCCAGGTAATCTGCAAAATGTTATCATCATACAGGTTCAGTCTTTTAAACAATACCCCAAATTTTAGAAATTCAGCAAGGATGGCAAGACAATTAAAAATGTGCAAAGTCCTCAATTCTGTGTCTGAGCAGTTATCACAGTTTCTGAAAATTGACAATGGTAACCCTTTGTCAATTTTCAGAACTCTGTGATGGCCAGTTCTAAGCCTGACTATGAGTCAATCTTCATTCATGTTACAGAGCTGGTGTTTTATTGGAATTGAATGTTCCTTCAATCTGTATTTGGCCATGGCATTTGCATCTGAGAGGGTGACATTTACGTCATTATTACTGTTGAAATTTCAAGCTATTTGCCACTTTGTCTTATTCTCATTATATGTGACGTTGACATGTGTGGAAAAATCCCTCAAATGATTTATGTATCGCCGTTAGAGGGCGCTTCGCTTCTGAAAAAGAATGTTAGTTTTTAGTTTGCGACGCAGTTAGTTAGCAGTGAACCTTCGATGCAATCGAAGTTGCTTTGTAAATAAAATGATTATTTTTGTAGATTGTTGAAGGATTTCACTTCATTTAGAATTAGAACCACCTTTCGCATTATGGCGCATCGGTGCCGAGAACCTTTGGCCAATTTAGAAGTTTGTGTTTTTTTTTAATTTTGGATATCATTTTATGCGAAGACAGCCAAGGTAAGCCTGTATTTTCTATTTTTATATAATATGGAAGATCTTATTGCTAAACTGAAATCGAAACGAAAGGTATTGAGGACCGGAGTGTCCAAGATATTAAAGAAAATTGAAACCGAACTGAATAAAGATGATAGTAGTATAAATGTAAATGTATTAGAAGAAATTTTAGACCAGTTAAACGAAAAATCAAAATCCTTGAGCAATTTAGACGCTGAAATAGAACGAGAATTAAAAGTCGAAGAAGACGAATTTGAACTTGAAATCTCATCCGCTTTGGAATATGAAGAGAAAATTCAAGTGTGGCAGTTTAGAGGAAAGAAAAAGTTGAAAGAGTTGAATAAGTTGGAAAATTCGGACAATGCAAATAGAGACATTTCTAATGAAACCGTTACAGAATCCCAAAACGAAAGTAACAAATTCACTCGTCTTCCAAAATTAACGATCTCTCTAAATTTTATGGT